CTCTTGTGTCCTGGCAGGACTCATCTCTTTCCCCCCCCCTCACCCCCACCCTCCTGTTTACACCCCTGCTGCTAAGTGGCCAAAAGGCAAAAACTACAGCATAACGGCCACTCAGCAGGCAGGGGGGAAGAAGGGGGTAAAAGGGCGAGATTAAAGGTACCAATGCACCACAAACTTCCAACAGGATTTAGGTAGGTTCTTAGTTATAATGAAACCGTAATATAGTGTAATCTTGGGGTAAGGATGCACACTTCTTTCCTAGTTTTGAAAACCCAGTCTATTCCTAAACAAAGAAACTGCATGGACCTGCCTAGCTTTGAATATGTTATTAATGTTGACAGAAAACGGAGGTTTGTACAGTTAAGGAGGAAAATTTTTCCCCTGTCCAAAAGGCGTATCTTTGCATCTTCCACTTATGCCAATTACACAGTAGCAAGAAATGTTCACGTTTCCTTCCTAAAGTGCTTTGTTATGGTCCTGTTGCTAAGTGTTTGGCTATTTTCTCTTTGAGGCAAATTGCCAGTACTACAATGTAAGAAGCATTTCCTTACCTTAACCTCAAAGATGCAACTTTGTTCAAAAACAATTAGATCACTTATTTCTGTTGAAATCTGTACTAACTACAACATGTATCACATCTTAATTTGAGGAAGTTTTCCTTCAAAGGACTTCCATGAACCCCTTATTGGAACAGGATGTCCAGAGAGAAAGGATGCACCTTTTGAATTGTTATGCCCAAATGATCCGGACAACAGAGCTCATTTTTTTCATACACAAGAGCTTGCTCTTACTGAACCCCTACAGCTTTAGACACCACTCAAAATTATATTTTATGCATAAATTGTTGATTAATAACCCCATTATACATGAATCATAGCATTTGCATCAAAGATGTTCTAAACAGCTCCAAAAACACTTTTAGGTTACAGATAAAACAAATGCATACAGAACATCTGACTAATCACTACACATAATTATATATATTTAACAAATATATCCAGGATATACAAGCTGATTTAAACAAGTATATCAAGGAGCTAATCACACCCAGAATGTAAGATCCCTGAATGTGCTGAACAAGGAACAGGAATAGTGCACTGGTGAGGCCTCACCTGAAGTAATGCATCCAGTTTTGGGAACCACACTTTAAGAAATACATGGACAGGGGAGAGCACCAAAATTTTACAAGCCTGGAAAGCTTGATTTAAGAGGAAAGTCTGAAAGAGCTAGGCTAATTTTGTCTGGCAAACAGAAGTGTGTGGGGAGGGGTGGGGGGAGAGGAGTGTTGGTAACAGTTCAAATAGCTGAAGGGTGATTATAGAGAAGCTAGATATAGGCTTTTCTCTGCTGCTGCAGGTTTAGAAGCAACGGCCTCAGACTAGCAGCAGAGCAGGTTTAGGTTGGAAATTAGAAGGAACTTTTGGACTATGAGGGGTATAAAGCATTGAAATGGGCATGCTAGAGAAGTTGTAGAATCTCCATCCCTGGATATTTTGAGAAGCAGGCTGGCCAGATACTTTTCTGGGATTGTTTACTCAGAAATGATCCTGCCATGATGGACCTAATGCCCTGGTGTGGTGCCTTCTAGCCCTGCTTTCCTGCGATCCTAAGAAAAATTGATGCAGAGCAAAATCTTAGCAGAGTCCAAAGGATCCTTAATCATACTATGATGTGACTAGCCAAAGCAATGAAAATCTCATCCACTCATAGGATATTGGGGCCCATTGTACAAAATGTAACAAAAATGTGTAGCACTTTTCAGGAATGTCGAAATAATGCTTAGTACTTGAGTATGGCTAATTTACAAAAGAAACATAAGTTCAGTGCCCTTACTTGAAAGCCATTTGAACCAAATGTGCCAAAACATCTTGTGCATCTAAAGTAATTCGGCTGAGATCTCGGTCTTGCTTTATAAAATTGAGCAGCTCAGATGCATTTGCCATCCAGAAGGCAAGTGCCCCAGCAATATTCTTTTGCTTCTGTAGGTAAAGAAAAGCAGCAAACAATACATAGAAGTACCTTTTTGATCAGATATTTCAGTTTTAAAAGGCTCCATAGATAGACCAGTACCTTTCCCATTTCACCAAATGTACCTCAGATACCAGATATTTGCAAAATTTTTTGGTGTATAGAATAGTGCAACTATGCAAACTGATAAGTTTTTATAATATTTAAAAGTATGTACAGATTCTGTCCCAACTGGCATTAGTTGAAAGAGAAAAAATGGCATTAGCATCTAGTTATGCAGCGCCAAAAGCTCAGCTGTATGCATTATCTGGTAATCTGCGTGTGCATAAGCACATATTTACTATGACCCACTGCCACCCTGATACTGCTAGTCACTGGCTTTGACACCAGGCGACTCAGTATCCAAGTACTGATCTATCTCACCAGCTCCCGACCACAAATGCTAGGCCAGGCAACCTCAGATGAGATCCAAAGAATAGGAACCGCAAACAAAAGAAAAAAATAAAAGGGAAGAAAAAGAACTTTGGTCATTTCATATCCACATTGAAGTGCGTTAAGCAGAAATTATGGAATGCCGATAAAAGTTGCACAGTCAAAAAAGGATTTTAGTACTGCATGTTCCAGTTGCTGAATGAGTGTTATGAACTGTTCAGTCCAGCTGTTTGAGTATTGTTTTTTGACATGGAAGCAGCATGAGAAACTGAGCTAAGCCAACATAGCTAGGATCAGTTCCCAGCAGGATGTCCTACCTGATCAACCTGGTCTACCTCCTGGAGAAAAACGGACGAAGGAAATCAAACAGAATAGAAGAAAGAAACTTGTGAACAATCATGGTAGGTTTAGAAATCAAACACTAATATGAAGGTACAAACACATATGTGCACTGTTACACCTAAATGAATTTTATCAGAGGCTACAATACAATTGAGACAACTTAAAAGAAGGAACATTTTAGGTGAACCCAGTAGCATGACGACAAGGAACTGAAGTGCCTTGTTAACGGGTAATAATTAATTCAAGGAATGCCCTCGAATATTTAACATCACAGGCTGTTGGCTAATCCAGAGTCAGTGCACCACAGGAATCCTGCAGGGCATACTCCAAGCCATTCTGGGGCTGCATACACTGTAAGGCAGCATGAATACTAATTTGAGAGCCTTACTTGCCCATACTACTGCAGCAAAGACAATGTACAAACACAAACAGGGACAAAAGGAAAATTAAAAAATAAAATATAAAACACAAGGCCAAGACAAATTCATACATAGCTTTTGATTGAAAACACAATGAAAACAAGTTAAATACTACACACAACTTGACTGCAACATATAAAGTACACTAAGAGTGAAAAAGGAAAAATGTAGAAGTGTCTAATATCTAGTAATATGACTTATCAATTAAGAGGAGACTCTAGCTTCCTTATTTTCTATTTGTACTCAGAACGCACAAATGTGAGACATCATCTGACACTGCTAATTCTAACTCTTCATTCAAAGTTTCATTGGAAACCAACTCTCCTCTAAGTACCCTGAACTGACTTAAGACCATAATTATTGGCTACAATGGTGATATTCCCCCTAAAAGTAGAGACCAGAAAACTTTGAGACAGCAAAACTGTGGAGTTTAAAAATCAAATAATTATAAAACCAAATTTCCATACAAGAAATAAAGTATAATGGTATAGTGCTATTCCACTATTTTATTTCATTAACTAACTTTTCTACCACATGAAAGCCTAATCTTCTATACTGTTTATATTCACTAACACAAAAGATGAAAATATTTCACATAATTTAATTTGAGAGAGCAGTTTTTAGGCATTTCATTAGAAGTATTATATCTCCTTATAAACCTGACAGATAAAAACCAAAATAGACAATCTCCCCTTCTTTCTGGAGATAGAATCTTACATGCTCTCTTCTACCTTGTCCACCTGCTCCATGTCACTAGCTTGTTTAGATCTCTTGACACTGTGCTCATCATCTATCTTTTTCCTCCTTGATGTCTCCCTTTCCATCTTCCTCTCTCCAATGTGCTAGCCTTGCCTATCCTAAAAAGCCCCCTCTTGATCCTCAAATAAGTCTCCAGCTACCATCTCATCTCCCTGATCACCAAATAGGATGTCTACAATCATTATTTGGTGTTATCCTGCAGCTCATCTTGCCTTGCCTCAAAAATCAACTTCCTCTTTTGCATTACCTCAAGTGGCTTTCAGAATCTAAGTGACCTTCTGTCAAAAGCTCATCCATCACTACCATATGCCAGTCTTGCCCTCCTTTACCTATCAACTGCCAGTAATGAAAGCTGGTTTACCACAATCACATTTTTCTCATGCTGACCAGTGATATTCAATAAGCTAACTCTACCCATCCGTTTGTTTTTCAAATTGACCTGTTTTCTGAAATTTTTGCACAGATTTCAAACATTTTGAACCAGGAATTGTCTCTTTGTTGTATGTTTGTACAGTGCCTAGCACAATGGGCCCTGGCCCCAAGGATTTACTGTAATAGGAATAAATAATACATTTAAGTAGAAAATGAACATGAACTTTGGATTTTTTTATTTTTTTTAACTAATCTGAAAGAAAGTGTATGCAAACATATTTTATATACTATAAAGAAGCATTTTAACAATTCTGCCTGGAAAACATCTGCAATAAGATAAAGCAAATAGTAATAATAGATTAAATATATCATAACTTTATTTTTTCAGGATATTTGTTAAATAATGCAACAGAAGCATATTTTAACAAGAGCTAAGTAATACCTGGCATTCCCTTTTAAAGTTCATAGTCAATACTACAACTTGACCCTATATTCACTGTACAAGCACAACTCCCGTATGTTTAAAGCAAGCAGGACTTGGCTTTATGTTAGTATATACTAACTTATCTTGACCTTAAACTTTCCTCCCTCTATACATGACTAACATCTGTATCAACTTGAATCACAAAAAAAAATTAACCTGAACACTACTGTAGGTTTCCATTAGATGCACAGAACCAAAAATGTGGAAAAAGCCCCACATTTTTAAAAATGTTTTTCTAGACAATTCACTGGTCAATGTAAATGCCTGTTTTATTAGGCCTTATTTAAAATGCAACTGCAGTTTACATCAGAACTTCTCATAGAAAAGTAGTAATTCATAAAAATAAATTTGTGCTATGGGAATAGTGGATCAATCATGATGCAAGATATAGAAATAAACCTTCTTTTCCTAACACAGGTCATCAGCAAGGCTGCAATTTTTTTCCCCCCAGGAGAAAAGTAGCTTACTATCTCACATCATATTTCTCATTTGCAAGGAAAATATTTCACCAATATCAGCTTGTCATTTGCATTTATATTTGACAATATTCTATGTGAAAAGCTAAAAAAAATCCTAAATTGAAATTACAATCTTCAGGATATAATTACTGACAAATTTTCTTTGCAAATGTTACTTTTTTTGTCTTTGCAGATTGAAACTCACCTGGATAACTCCTTCCATCATGCTCACCATCTTGTTGACTATTGCAATGACTTTGTGAGTACGCTCAGTAGGAGTGATGTCAGGTCTGTACTGGCTTGACAATACATACCGACAAGTCATGTACAAAACATAAGTAGGAGATAGTTTAAAATGAACTGTTGAACTATTGGTATAATTTATAATGGCAGATAAGAAGGCATCTTCAGCTGTGGAAACAAATGACACAGCAAGAAGTCACCCCGCAATAAAAAGAAAAATGAAAAACAGCTTCATAATACAATGAAACAAGGATTATGGAGGGGGAAAGAAAGAGGGCATTGTGTGCTCTTTTATTCATCTAATATGCTGCTAATTGTCTCATTTATACATTGCAGCTACTGAGATGTCACAATAAGGCATTTGGATATCAAACAAAAGACGTGGACAATATTATCTCTCATTTATTTATATGTTGCCTGCCCTAGAAACAGGTGGGTTTTTTTTAAAAACAAGATTTCACTTTTCTACCCTACCCCCTCCAAAAGCCGTTATTAAAATCCATTTAGATTCAGCTGAAAGTTTCCCTATCCCTGCACAAACTCTCCTATTCAGTTTTCAAATATTGAGGCTTCACACAATACAATTGGTTAGTTAAGAAACACATGATGAGTCTTAACCAAGAGAGTCTACAAGCTATAGCAGAACAATGAAGTCCAAGGTTATCCAAGTTCAAGTTTTACATGATACTCTTTATGGGCACTTCAAATGCATTGGGCTTTTGACAAAAATCTAATATAATATCCGATGCACGAAGAATTTATATGGGATGGACGCGGTCTTTTGCACCATTAGCAACTATGCCTCTAACTGGGTATTTGGAGACAAAGAATGCCAAATAGTTAGAACAAACTACATACAGACCTATCCCCAGTACCTTAACCATTTTCTTTCCTCCTCCCCCACCAGCCATATTAGGAACATAAACATTGATTTTCACTTTCAACTTTCCCTCTGACTTTAAGAAAAGCATTACTTACTTTTTAAATATAATATTTAATATAATTTTATTGTAAATAGTAGTTAAATCTTTATAAAATACTTACAACTTTCCCTAAATTCGATGCTTGCAGGTAATACGAGTTCTGGCCCATGCGTGTCCTGAGATCTAAAGGAAGAGGGAGAATATTGGAAAAAACAATTCACATAGGTAAAGTTAATTCCACTGTCAAGTGATACAGATTTCTCCAAGGGTTTTATTTTTGAACCTGTACACAGCATTTTCCCCACAAAATATATACTTTGCTTTTACTCAATTCTGTTTGCTCCACCTCTCTTTTAGATTCATTCCCAAGTATGCTTGCCCACAACACAAGAGCACAGTGCAAACCTGAACTGTGGTGTCTGCATTATTAATGAACGCCCTTCTTTGCGCTGTATGCTATACTGATCAAGTCAGCCTGCCACCTGTCATTGACGT